GGATAAATAGGGTGGTCACTAGGTCTTTAAACTAGTGAAGTGGGGGGAAGGGAAGAGGGAAACAACAGGAAATATAATGGTAAATAGAAAAGGAAACAGCAGGTTAACATTTATGCAGGAGGGTTTAACTACATTGAAGACTATGAAAGAAGTTAAGGGGAAGGAAAACTCAGGAGATATTATTAATGGAGATGTTAAAATTCAAAAAGAAGGTATAAAAACTAGCATAAAGGTACTTTACCTGAGTGCTCATAGATTCGGAACAAGGTAGATGAGTTAATGGCACAAATTATCTCGAATGAGCATGATTTAGTAGCTATTACAGAGACATGGTCATGACTCGGAATTAAATATCCAGGGGTATCAGACTATTCGGAAGGACAGACAGGAAGATAAGGGAGGTGGTGTTGCTCTGATATTTAAGGATGACATCAGAGCGATAGCGAGAGATGATGTGGGTTCTATGGAGAATAAGGTTGAATCCATTTGGGTGGAATTAGAAATTCTAAGAAGAAAATGTCATTGATAGGCATAGTCTATAGGCCATCAAGTAATAAAATCACATTGGAATGGGCAATAAACAAAGAAACAACTAATGCCTGTAAAAATGTTATGGCAATTATCGTGGGAGATTTTAATCTACATGTCGATTAGTTGAACCAGGTCTGTCAAGGCAGGCTTGAGGAGGAGTTCACTGAATTTATCCACGATAGCTTTCTTCAACAGTATGTGATGGAACCGATGAGGGAGAAAGCCATCTTAGATCTCATTGTAATGAGAGAGGGATAATTAATGATCTCATAGTTATGGATCCTCTTGGAAGCGGCGATCACAGTATGGTTGAATTTAGAATACAGATGGAAAGTGAGAAGATAAAATTGAATACCAGGGTCCTGTACTTAAACAAAGGAGACTACAATAGGATGAGGAAGGAGTTGGCTAAAGTAAACTGGAAACAAAGACTCTGTGATGGGACAGTTGAGGAACAGTGGAGGACTTTCAAAGTAATTTTTCAAAGTGCTCAGCAGAAGTAAATACAGTGAAAAGGAAGGACTGTAGGAAAAGGGGTAATCAGCTATGGATGTCTAAGGAAATAAGGAAATAATTGAAAGGTAAGGCATACAAAGTGGCAAAGATCACTGGGATTGGTCAACAGAAAGCCACAAAAAAGACTATAAAGAAAAGGAAGATAGATTATGAGACTAAACTAGCTCAGAATATAAAGACAGATAGCAAAAGTTTTTATAAATATATAAAACGAAAAAGAGTGGCTAAAGTAAACATTGGTCCTTTAGAGGATGAGAAGGGGAATTAATAGCAGGAAATGAGGAAATAGCTGAGGCATTGAACAGGTATTTTGTGTCGGTCTTCACAGTGGAGCACACGAATATCTTGCCAGTAATTGATGACGAAGAGACTGAAGTAGGTGAGGATCTAGATATAATCATTATCACGAAAGAAGTAGTGTTGGGAAAGTTAATGGGTCTAATGGTAAACAAGTCTCCAGGCCCTGTTTGAATGCATCCCAGTGCACTAAAAGAGACGGCTAAAAGAGAGTAAGAGCAAACGTACTTGTAATTTTCCAAAATTCGCTGGACTCTGGGACAGTTCCAGCAGATTGGAAAACAGCCAATGTGATGCCACTGTTCAAAAAAAGAGGAAGACAAAAGTTGGGGAATTATAGGCTGGTTAGCTTAACTTCTGTAGTGGAGAAAATGCTTGAATCTATCATCAAGGAAGAAATAACAAGACATCTAGATAGAAATTTCCCCATTGGGCGGATGCAGCATGGGTTCATGAAAGGCAGGTCAGGCTTGACTAATTTGCTGGAATTCCATGAAGACATTATGAGTGTGGTGGACAATGGGGTCCCAAAGGAAGTGGTGTATCTGGATTTCCAAAAGGCATTCGACAAGGTGTCGCAGAAAAGGCTGCTGCATAAGATAAAGGTGCATGGCATTACAGGCAATGTATTAGCATGGATTGAGGATTGGTTAACTAACAGGAAGCAAAGAATGGGGATAAATGAGTGCCTGTCTGATTGGCAAACCGTGACTAGTGGTGTGACTCAGGGATCAGTGCTGGGATCACAATTGTTTATAATTTACGTAGATGATTTGGAGTTAGGGACCACATGTAGCGTACCATAGTTTGTGGATGACACTAAGATGAGTGGTAGAGCAAAGTGTGCAGAGGACTCTGAAAGTTTGCAGAGGGATGCAGGTAGTTTAAGTGAGTGGGCAAAGGTCTGGCAGATGGAATTCACTGTTGATAAATGTGAAGTCATCCATTTTAGTCGGAATAACAGTAAAGTTTGAACGGTAAAAAATTGCAGCATGCTGATGTGCGGACGGACCTGGGTGTCTGTGTGCATGAATCGCAGAAGGTTGGTTTGCAGGTGCAACAGGTAATTAAGAAGGCAAATGGAATTTTGTCCTTCATCACTACAGGGATTGAGTTTAAAAGCAGGGAGGTTATGTTGCAGCGGTATAGGGTGCTGGTGAGGCCACACCTGGAGTACTGTGTGCAGTCTTGGTCTCCTTACTTGAGAAAGGATGTACTGGCACTAGAGGGGGTGCAGAGAAGATTCACCAAGTTAATTCCAGAGTTAAGAGGGTTGGCTTATGAGGAGAGACTGAATAGACTGGGATTATATTCATTGGAATTTAGAAGAATGAGGGGGGTTCTTATAGAAACATATAAACTTATGAAAGGAATAGATAAGATAGAAGCAGGGAGGTTGTTTCCACTGGTAGGTAAAACTAGAACAAGAGGGCATAGCATCAAAATTAGGGAGGCCAAATTTAGGACTGAATTGAGGGACTTCTTCATCCAAAGGGTTGCGAATCTGTGGAATCTGTGAATACAATGAAGTAGTAACTTCCTCATTGAATGCTTTTAAAGCTAAGATAGACAATTTTTTGAATAGGAAAAGAAATTAAGGGTTATGGTGAGAGGGTGGGTAAGTGGAACTGAGGCCATGAAAAGATCAACCATGATCTTATTGAATGGCAGAGTAGGCTCGAAGGGCCAGATGCTCTACTCCTGCTCCTGCTTCTTGGGTTCTTATGTTCTCTAAGTGTCTATGAATCTGAGCAAGGGACAAAATAATGAAGTCTAAATCAGGATAACTGCTTTTCTATTAAATAGCTTACTCAATCCATTTCCTTTTATTGTAGTAGTTCCTTTCAATCCTGTTTATGTTTCAGTTTTCAGTTGGTAAATGCTTTTTCCACAGAATCTGCATTTGGAGTAGGCCTCACCTGATTCAAATATTCTTCCTTTGGCCTGACGGACTTGTGAAACCAGGGAGAACACAAGCCAGTGTAACGCCTTGTTTACAAAGCCATTAGTGGGAAGTCTAATATCTGCATCCCATTGCTCAAGACAGATCACAATAAACTTGTCTGCACTAATAATAGGAAAAAGGCTCCTTCCAGCTAGAAATTTATTTCAGGGGTGATGCAAAACAGGCATTTTGGGATTGGCCACCCACTATGCACAGTGCCTGGTATTCAGTCCATAGCTGCTGACTGGCTTCTCAGAGTCACAGAGATTTTACGGCATGGAAAGAGGCCCTTCGGCCTTTCATTTCTGCACTGGTCATGAAGCATCTATCCATTCTCATCCCATTTTCCAGCACTTGGCCTGTAATCCTGTGTGCTACTACATTTGAAGTGCTCATTTAAATACTTCTTAAAAATCTTAAGGGTTTCTGCCATTATCATCTTTTGAAAAAGTAAGTTCCAGACACCTGTCACCCTCTGAGTGAAAAGAAATTCCTCAAATCCCCTCTAAACCTCTGTTCCTTACATTAAAACTGTGTCCCCTTGTTACTGACCTCTCTACTAAGAAGAAACATTTCTGCCTATCTAAGCTCCCAGAACTTTGTATACTTCAGCCTGGTTCCCCCCTCAAGCTTCTTTGCTCTAAGGAAAACAATTACAACCAGTCTAGTCTCTCTTCATAGCTGAATCACTCCAGCCCCGGCAACAGGTGAGTCTCCTCTGCACCTCCTCTAGCACAATCATTCTTCCTATAGTGTGGCATTGAAGCGAAACAGAAATGTGTCTTTTATGTTTCCACCATTTAAATCTAACAGCTACACTGTTCATCTTTAGGCCTGAAATGAAACTAAACGCTGTAAAACCAGATTTTGCTTTAGAAACTGCAGACAGTTAGAACCGAACACGATATCTAGCTGTGGCCTAACCCAAGTTATATACGGCTACATAATCACTTTTTCTTTCCACTTGTTTGTTTTCACTATTCGGACATTGTTTTAGATGAGTATTCTATCTATATTCTGACACACATAGAACAGTGCAGCACAGGAACAGGCCCTTTGGCCCTGCATGTCCATGCTGACCATGAAGTTAAACTAATTCCATCTGCCTGAATATGGTCTGTATCCCTCTAATTCTTGCCTGTTTATATATCTGTCTAAAATGCCTTTTAACCATTGCTATTGTATCAGCTTTTACTATCTCTTCTGGCAGCATGTTCAGGCACCAACCACCCTCTGTGTAAAGAACTTGTCTCACACACCTCCCTTAAACTTCTCCACCTCTTACCTTAAACCTAAGTCCCCTTGTATTTGATATTCCCATCCTGGGAAAAAGACTGACTATCCAACCTATCCATGCCTGTCATAATTTTATATCCTTCTATCAGGGCACCCCTCAGCCTGCTATGAAAAATATTGACAGAACGGTGCAATTTAAAAAGATACTGTAATCGTTTGCAGAATTCTGAGGGGTTGCTTTTACAGTGTGAAGCTCAGCAGCAGCTTTCACATATTTCACCGATTCAGCAGTAACTTTCCAAAGAGACTTTTGCCAGTTACTTGAAAAAAATTATATGCAGTGCGTTCACGAAGATACCATGTTGCAGGACACTTCCTCTATCAGTTGAAATTGAAAGAGGAAATGTGCTTTTCGTTCCTTTCCATGTGTGTATGCTCCAACCCCCTCCACGGTCTGTACATGTAGTGTATAAGGAGTGCCTCGCTCTCCCAGACAGCCAGAGGGATGGATGAGAGGAACAGACTCTCCTCCAGGAGGTGTGCGCTGCTTTTCCTGGGCTATTTCATGTACCTCCTGATAGGAGCTGTAGTCTTCCAGGCGTTGGAGTTGAAGGAAGAGCATAAACTTAAAACCAAGATCTGGAAAGAGAAACTGCAATTCCTGGAGAACTGCAGCTGCCTTAGTCGCGAAGTACTGGAGACTTTTATGGAAGTGAGTACTGTCTGCAGTTTCTAAAGCGAGATCTGGTCTTACAACGTTTAGTTTAATTTCAGACCTAAGGACGAATAGTGTAGCTGTTAGATTTACACGGTGGAAACATAAAAGGCACATTTCTCTTTCGCTTCAGTGAAAGGGTAGCAGCTCACTAATGGGAAACTGGGTGGGCGCCGTGTAAATCGAGCTATTTGATTCAACTTGTTTCAATTCAACATTGCAGTGCGTCTTTATTCATTTTATTCTAAACTCCAAGTCACCCTGTTAAGGAGTGTGTGATCTCTATCATTCTCTGCAGGAGTTTTACCGTCAGCATAAGACGATTAGATATAGGTGTAGAATTAGGCCATTCGCCTATCATGGGCTGCTATGTTTCTCAATCCTATTCTCCTACCTTCTCCCTGTAACCCTTGACCTCTTACCAAATCAAGAAGCTATCTATCTCTGTCTTAAATACACTCAATGACTTGGCCTGCAAAGCCTTCTGAGTTCCACAGATTAACCACCCTCTGGCTGAAGAAATTCCTCTTCTTCTTCTTAGAACTTCTCAGTTCTAAAGTGTCATCCCTTCATTCTGAGGCTGCGCCCTCAGGTCTTAGTCACTCCTACTCGTGGAAACATCTTCTCCACTCCACTCTATCCAGGCCTTTCAGTATTCTGTAAATTTCAATCAGACCTTTCCTCATGTTCCAAACTCCATCAAGTACAGAGCCAAAGTTTTCAACCAGTCCTCTTCATCGCTGGCATCATTCTTGTGAAACTCCTCTGGATACCCTCCAATACTAGCACATTTTTCCTTAGGTATAGGCCCAAAATTGCTCTATTCAAACGACCTTAACAGAAAAGTCTTGTGCTCAGCTAAGGTCCTGCAGTTGGAATATTTGCAGAGTGCAGCAGCAGTGTCCACATTACCTCAATATCTATATCGCCACCAGGTAGGGTCGAACTAGGTTCAGAAGGTCCAAAGGATCTGCGCCGTTCAAAACACCTCTCCCCACCCACAACCTCACCCTCGCCCCTACCCTCATCCCCACCCCAAGTCTTCTCCCCATGTTTAGTTTAGACCATAATTAATCCTCAACTTGGTCTCCAGTGTACCAGTAATGGGTGGTAAGCTACTTTGATCTATTGTTTCAGTCCTGACACTTTGCCAATGTTGACAGCTCTGCTGAGACAGAGATAATGATTGGAAAGAGGAGTGACCATGTGCATCCCCCAAAGCAGTAGCTGGGTTAACAGTATGAAATGATATTGTACAATATCAAAGCACTGTGTAAACTTACAATTCAGTGCACTTCTGTTTCTGAATATTCATTGGCCATTTTATGATTGTTCTGTGGCATTGGTTCAATACCCCATTTGAACCACAATTAAATATAATAGTTAAATATATTTTCTGTTGAAAGTAATTGAAAAATAGACAGCCAGTTACCTCAGTGAATACTAACAATTCAAGCTGTCAAAGATACAAAGGAGCTGTTAAAGACTGGAGAAAATCAAAAGAACTGCAGATGCTGTAAATCAGGAACAAAAACAAAGTTTCTGGAAAAGCTCAGCAGGTCTGGCACTATCTGTGAAGGAAAAATCAGAGTTAACGTTTCGGGTTCTCAGGAAGGGTCACTAGACCCGAAATGTTAACCCTGAATTTTTCTTCACAGATGCTGCCAGAAAGACTGGAGGAAGATTTATCTGTGTAGATGCTGTATGGATCTGAGCATTGTGAGCCAAATGGGCTCGCTATTCTTTTCTTAATGTTCACTTGTGCCAATGCACACATGATGATTGTACAATCAGAGGGTCCATGCATCAATTGGGTTATATCAATTGTACTTATTCAGCATGTGAATAACACTAGGTAAGTGAGAATTTAACAGCTTGTTTTTATAGGGCCATTGCATCCAGGGTAATTTTACTTTTTATTTTCAAGTTTTAATGAAACTTTAATACATTAAATTACTGGCCACCTAAGAAATTAAATCCTAGTGAAGCTCATTGAATGGAAATTGCACAAATCTGGTTGTGTCATTCATTGATTGCATTATAGTTACATCCAGAAGTAACTGACAGGAATGTAATGGTTGCACACTGCAATTATTTTTCACTGATCTGATGCACAGAAGATGTATCTATGTCTTGCATGAACAAATGACATTGGAGAAATGATTTTAATCAGTCCCAGCTGGCCAGATGCAAAATAATAGTTGGGGTAGCATGGTGGCTCAGTGGTTAGCACTGCTGCCTCACATGCTAGGGACCCAGGTTCAATTCCACCCTCAGCCAACTATCTGTGTGGAGTTTGCACATTCCCACCGTGTCTGTGGTGGTTTCCTCCCACAGTTCAAAGGTGGGCTGGTTAGGTGGATTGCCCATAGTGTCCAGGAATGTGCAGGCTAGGTTGAGTAGCTATTGGAAATGCAGAGTGATAGGGTAGGGGGTGAGAATAGGTGGGATACTATTCAGAGGGTCAGTGTGGACTTGATGAGTGGAATGGTCTACTTCCACACTGTAGGGATTCTATAATATCTAAATGAAAATTACATTAAAAACATCTCTAAATTGACCCATACATCAGCCCATTTAAACATTTTGCCACAGTGTCTCAGCATTTAAGCTGGAGTATATAATACAAGAAACAATAATGAAACAGTGGCTCGCCTGCAGCAGTTTAGTTTTTATTTTGATGATTTATAGTAACTGAAATAGTTTACAGAGTGCTGTTATACTCACTGACCAGGTAAAGATGGCAGTTTCCTTCCCTATAGGACATTGTCGGAAAAACCCATCTGGTTCACTAATGTCCTCTAGGAAAGGAAACTGCCATCCTTACCTGGTCTGGCCTACATGTGACTCTAGACCCACAGCAATGTGGTTGACTCTTAACTGCCCACTGGGCAATAAATTCTGGCCTAGACAATGATGCCATCATCCCATGAATGAATAAAGAAAAAAACAAAATTGGCTATATTCAGAAATATATAGGAGCAGGATGAAAACAACACCAAGAAAGCTGGGTGCACTTATTCAATCAACCAGCATGTATGAAAAAAAAACAAAAATTAAACAACTCAGGACTAAGGACTCAATGCCTGAGCATCTCACAAATACCACTTGACCTGTGGGGTCAGCATTGAATTATGACAATATGATGAAATTATGGGCAGAATGCTATGCTCTCCCCCATGGCATGCTTGGTGATAGGAACTATTTAATTCACCAAGAGAGTGGTGGATGGGTCTGTGCCACCATCCTACCTCCATCTTGATTAATTCTATGGTGGAAAGGCCAGCGGATGACTGTCCTGCCCAACTTATTTGAAGCCCTTAAATAACAATTGCTCACTTAAAGGCCTCAGTGCATCATTACTTCTAATAATCCACTGGTAAACAGAGGACTGGCCATGCAGTGAGCACGATGAGTAAACCCTGGTGTGTTTACTTTGTGGGCTGCTGATGGTGAAGTGTGGGGTGGGGCAAGTTCCTCATTCAAAAGAAAATCACAGGTCTTAGGCATTATCAATGGGGCATAGGGTACAGAGGGAAGGAGAAAGTAAAACTACACACAGTATTCTAACAGTGGCTTAATTTATATTTCAACCAAATTCACTTGAACACATTTACTCTTGTATTTTTTTTGGTTTTTATTCATAACCATAAAATGTTCTCAGTCTTTTTTACACTATTTTTCTACTTTAGCTTGTACTTTCATGAGATTATGTATTTGAACTCCTAGATCCCTCTGTTAACAACAATCTCATGGTCGTTTCATTGAGCATCAGTTGCTAGCGTTTTTTAACCCAAAACCTAGCCATTTACCATCACCATTTTGAAATAACTTTTAACTAAATGCGAAAGTTTACCCATTAGTTTACTGTATATTGACGAACTTTCTATTCTTGTTGCCCTTGAACCATTTGCCTACAATTTCCTAACAAGCTGACTTGTGAAATAAGTTATTGAGTATCCTATGAAAATCCTTGTCCATGACATTTACCAGATTCATTACATCCACCCAATCGATCACTCCTTCAAAGAAAAAAAGCCTAAAAAGCAATTGATATGTTATGTTGGAAAATAATCAAGCATGATTATTGAGCCAAAATGCCATTTTCAGAAATAAATCTCATTTAACAAAATAGTTATGCAACATTTGTTTCTAAATTTAATTGTAATATGAGAACCAAATATGTCTGCATTAGGATGAAGTAATATCAGTTATATTTCCTATTTCTACAGGCAGTAACTGAAGCTGTAAAGCATGGAGTGAATCCTATTGGAAACGATTCCAAATCTTCCCACAGTAATTGGGATATTAGCAGCTCTTTCTTTTTTGCAGCTGCAGTGGTGTCAACAATAGGTAAAGTTCACATTTATTGAATTAATTCTGAAGCTGGGGATCCCTTAACACAGGGCGGGTTAAGCAAACTTGTACGATTTAAATCATTTTCCAATTCTGACTCTTATTTTCTATTATTATTATTCTTTAGTTCAATTCCCATTTTCTCTCTGTTTTGCTGCAAGTACTGACTTAAGTTGCAATATGGCTTCACAAGTACAAAAAGCCCTTTCAGTGCCTTACCTAATAAATCATTCTTTATGTTCAAACCCAGACAGCATGCTTTGATCGGAAATTTGACTACGAGGCAAGCAGCATAACAACCAAGCCAAATGCATTCTCCACCTAATATATACTGGAAATTATTTTCAGGAAGACTCATTGGGCAGTAAGCTGGAGCATAATGTTGTCTGCTCCCTTTTTTTGTCCCACATGGCCACTGCACATTAACTGCATTGCTTCCAAGCGGCTTAGATTCAATGAGCATCACAATCTCTGAGCCCAGTTTCAGGAGCTATCAAAATTCATCTGCACTCTCTTCAACTCTACTACTAAAGTAAAGTCAGGTCCTGGGGAGGGGGGTTTGTCAGGTCCTTGGGGCTGGGGGTGATATCAGAACCCTAGGATAGAGGAGTTGGTAGCACTGAGGGTGGGGGTGTCATGTCATAGATCAGGGAGGGTGGGTGTCAGGTCAGAGTCCAGGGAGTGTAAGGAGCCTAGGGCACATGTGATTGGGTGGAGGTTGGAGAGTACTGTGGGGCTGTTCAGTTTTATACTATTAATGTAAGTAGTTATTAACAAAGGCAATGGAACCCTCCAAATTTTCAGATTTAATTGGATCCTTTTGGAGGTTTCCAAGCACAGAGAAATTGCCCATCAGAGTTTTCAATATCCCGGGCAACTCCCCTGGAGTCTGAGATAACAAGGTGTAGAGCTGGATGAACACAGCAGGCCAAGCAGCATCAGAGGAGCAGGAAGGCTGACGTTTTGGGCCTAGACCCTTCT